GAGGAACCAGTGTCAACACAAGAAACAGGTATCCGGCTAAAAGAAGTCCTTGCTTTGTGTTTGGTAGAATATCAAAGCTATCGAACATTACCAGTCACAGGAACAGGGTAAGGCCATCACTAAAGACGCTTACTGGGAGCAATTTGATTAATTAAAAGAAGTATTACGCCGAAAACTATTTTAGAAACAAAATCTTATAAACCTCCGTAAATTTAAAGATTAGTTATTCCAAAAGAAATTCTATACACACACACACACACACACACACACACACACACACACACACACACACACACACACACACATATATATATATATATATATATATATATATATATATATATATATATATATATATATATATTATAAATTAATTGATTTAAAATATGTTTTATAATATTAATGCTCTGTAAATTTACATTGAGCACTATTTTGTAAAAATAAAATATCTATAAGAACACCGGATTATATATCTTACTGTTCTTTCTTTTATTTATATACATATATATATAATATTATCAATTCAATTATACTAAAATCCACATATATATATATATATAGGCGCCTCGAGGCGGTGTAATGGTTAGCAAGCTTGTCGCGCTAGAACAATTATGACTGAGTAGTCAGTTCGATCCTCACTGGGTGCCCACTACTTTCGGCCTTGTGCCACATCTAAGCTACGCTTGGAAAATCAATATATACGAATAGAGAGACGGACAGAGACGACCTTAAAATCACCTTTGCATACATTAGGCAGCATATATTTTATATATAAAGACATAATCATACATACAATCAATCAACAATATTGCTGATTGATTCTATGTATGATAATTTCTTTATATATATATATATATATATATTACAAAGGGATTATGATCGTCAAACGTTTTGTCTATCAATAAGCAATGAACTTAATCATATAATTACTTATATCAAAGGCTTGATCAATGAATGAATTATTCCAATTTTTTTTTTAACTCTTCTATGTTCGTTAACCTATATTAGGAGCAAACCGCCTACAGATGGAAAGAAAATCAATTCAGTAAATAACATAAATAGAAAGGGTCGAAAAGACAATCATGTTTTCTCAGCAGACTAATTTAAAATTTACAGTGTGGCGATCCTAAGAGAATTAAAAATCCTGCCATGTTTCTTTACTATCGGCCACAATCTTAACAGCATAAGTTATGCAGATGGCACATTGTTAATAGCAGGCACACAAAGGAAACGACAGGAAGTCTTAGAGAAATTAGTGTAGGACAGAAGATTAATTAAGGCAAAATGCATGGTTGTCAGCAAAAAGTCAAGGCCAATATGCGAACTGCGTATGATAGACGCCAAAATCAAGCAAATATAAAAAATATATATAAAAAATTGTGGAGGAGGTGATGAAATAATCCTAACTATCCCGTTTTTTCTTGAGCTTGTGTTGTATACTAAAACAGGGCATTTTCGACGTAATAATACTTTTAATTAATCAATTATCTGCCAATAAGTATATTCAGTGACGGTCCTTTCATGTTCCAGTGGCTCGTAATGATATTCCAAGGACTTCTGTAGTTGGATACCCGTTTTTTGTGTTGACACTGATTCCTCATTTTTTTTTCAATAACCATCGTCTTTTTCGTTTTCCGCTGGGAGATGCTTTCACAGAGGACGTAACGTCTGACACCGAATTCCGAAAACGCACGAAAGATGACTTCCAAAAGTTAAGCAAAGTATTAAGAAACAGGAAGAAAAAAAACTACTAAAATATCGGCCCTTCTACATGGCAGGACAGATGAGGAAAAGTCCTTGAGGCAACAGAGATGTGATTCTACAGAAGGATGTTGATAATAGTCTGGGATGAACATCAGTGAATTTTTAAACGGAAGACGGAAACAAAATGGACACTCATGCATAGAACCAGAAAGAAGCAGTTGAAAACGTTCAGGTGCATCATGAGAAAAAGGGGTTTGGAGAATTTGACACTCAGGTGATATTTTGAAGGCACGTGAGACATAGAAAAGCAGCAAATAAACTAGCTAAGAAGGTTGTGCAAATACATGTCAGAACAGGCATTAGATGCGATAGCAAGAGGCAAATCGGACCAAGTGCTATAAACGACAGGGAGATGTAGAAAGTCATGATCTCACACGTACTGAAAAAACACGGTATATAGTAGATGTTGTTTTAGTGTAGCGTTGCAAACCTTTCTACGAACAGTTCCGCCCTTCGCGTTTAACACGAGGTTGTTCTTAATGGTTAAACGTGTTTCAAACTGTGTCTGCTATGCAATGGAACACGGTAAATTATACGAGAAGAACAAGAAAACGAAAAGGAATTAAAAAAAATATATGGTTTAGCATGATTGGAAGGATGTGAAGAAAATAATAAAATAAAAAGGAAAGGAATGAAGGATTCGATGAATTGACGCATGAATCACTCTTTGTGAGGAAAGAAAAGATAATAGACACGTACTTATCTTGGGTATCACATCGCTGAGGTAATTGTCGTTGCTCAGCTAACATTTCCTAAAGAAAGAGAAGAACATTGAAAGACAAATTATAACGGACTCAGTGGCAGACAAAATATGCCTTGACTATTTGAATCTCTCCCAGTGAAAATCTCTATCAGTGGGTACTGCTTTTTAATAAGCGAGACCGGATGATCTACTCACAATCTGGGTAACGGTTTAAATCTCATTTCGCTGTCGAGATAGAAGCTATTTTTTGTCTTCCATACAATAAATTTTATGATAATTGTATGATTTTTTTTTAGTCATTATGACAACGATGGAAAAAATTCTCCGAATAGCGGATTGATTATGAAAGATGCGAGTCGGTTTTCGATAAAATCATGTATCCATTTAAATCTCTTTTCTTCTTTCATGTACATAGAATGTGCCTTTATATCGTGGACAGATCACCTTTTTAACTTTTATAATGTTTTCTTTTTTCATTATCCTTCCCTTTTCCTGATTTGACATCCGTTTTCACAAATTTCTTACACAGAGTTATTTTTATTCTAATATTCACCTACTACAAGGCCCAAGAACAACTCAAGGTAGAGGATTACCGTGTGGTGTTGTATGAGTGCATGAAAGGACAAGAAATATAACGGTTAATTGAATACGATTGGAATAAGGAAGATTCACACGTGTGTACACGTGTGTGCATGGCATGGCGGCTCCCATTTGTAAAGGTCAGTGTTGCTGGGTCTAAGGAATATAGCTAGTCATAATAGATGCAATGGGAATAGCGATAGAGTAGCTAGTGGCACGCAACGTTTTGTTTGTCGGAAAGGGTTCTGGGTTGGAAAATAATTCATTACCCACAGGGTCGCGTAGACGGTTATGAAAACAGACAAGTGAGGATTGTACAGTTCCAACCAGTTATGGCGGCAAAATTCATGTTTGGTTTGACCTGGTTGTTTTAAAAATACAGCATATAAGGCGGAGTCAGTCACTAGAGCTTTAAAATAAACCAACCAATCTTCCATCATCTCTACTCAATAGATCGGAAATAACAGTTCCACTTGAAGTCTGGAGAGAACTTGAGTTCCGATAGACGTCCAAGACAAGGCGCCTCCTTGACAAAAGACCCATCCACCATATTAAGTAAAAGTTCGAGGTCTGCTCGGTTATGGTAGAACGCTAGTAGTTTACGTTTGGCCGTATTTTACACACCAGTTCTTTCGCCGTTGAGTCACCTTGGCCAGGACACAGAAGAGATGAGTTGCTAGGTTTTCGTCTTACAGATTTTTGGAGGTGCACCAACAGATTTTTGTATAATCCGCGTATATACTCACTAATACTGAAGTACGCTTTAGGCAGATCATTAATATACTGTAGAAAGAGGGTTGGACCGAGGAGATAACTTTGTGGAATGCAGACATTGATCTTTATGGACTTCTGATGACTGGCCGTTAATAACGACCTTCAGGACCTACCTGTTAGGAAGGACTTGATAATTGAGTGAACATTTTAAGAGATTCCATAGCTGGAGAGTTTATGCACTAGCCTATGATACCAAACGTTGTCAAAAACTTTGAATATATCCAGGGTAATTCTCCTTGTGATGAATGAATTATCAAGTGCCTCGCTGATTCTATAATTGCAGTTAAGACATCAGCCGTGGTTCTATCAGGGCGAAATCCATACTGGTTATCAAGTAGGTGGATGTTCTTGTTGAGGTGTTCTTGCTTACTAAAGGTCGAATAAATTTGCTTAGAAGACGCAACCATGTCTGACGCAGCCGTGTCTGACTCAGCCGTGTCTGACTCAGCCGTGTCTGACGCACCCATGTCTGACGCAGCCGTGTCTGACGCAACCGTGTTCGACGTCAGCCGTGTCTGACGCACCCGTGTCTGACGCAGCCGTGTCTGACGCAACCGTGTCTGACGCAGCCGTGTCTGACGCACCCGTGTCTGACTCAGCCATGTCTGACTCAGCCGTGTCTGACGCACCCGTGTCTGACGCACCCGTGTCTGACGCACATTTCCGTTTTATGCAGTTAGTAAATTAATTTTCTCTCATTATGCAGGTAATTTGATCCCAGTGTAAGTTCTCCATTATACAAATATTTTTTTCCAAATAAAGTTTTCCTAGCAGTTCAAATAGATATTTGTGTCGTACTTAAACTAGCGCTTTTAAAAAAAAATTATATAAAACTGAAAAGACTATTTGGATTTTCTGATGAATCTTAATTATTAAGTTAATGATTGAATAACATCGTGGCGAGTTCTTTGACAATAACACATCTGTAGAAATTTACCCCATCACAACGTTAAATATTTGAGCTTAACAACTTTAACAAAATATTTCAGTAACATGAATATGAAAGTTGGTCACTATTTAAAGAAGTAAGAAGCTACAAATGAAAATATTTGAAATTGACAACTTTTCCCATTTCAATGAAACCGCCATTACACACATCTATCTTCCCTTTCTTTCTTTTTCTTTCTTACTTTCTTTTTTCTTTCTTTCATTCATTTTCTCACTGAAAACCAAGTAGGGC